AAAACTTGAAACAAAACACAAAGAGTACTCGGTTCTCTATTTAATAGTCCAAGCAATTGCCTAATTACTATTAATAAATCCAAAGCCATAACAAAGAGCTCCAATCGTGGCTCAACAATGCACATCAAAAGTACAAAAAAGGACACCAACCATGAGCAACATGGCACTGTCAGTACTCTGATCATTGAAAGTTGTTGATGGAATCAGCCTTTCTAAAAGTTAACATAGAGTTTAAGAAACCTGACTAGCTGGCTCAGAACCATAAAACAGAGTTGTACTCCTCACAAGGAGATAATAAAATGAGTCGCCTAGTCATAAAAACACAGACACAAGCAAAACCAATTGAAGATTCAGAATTGAAGATTCAGTATTCAACATTCTAAACTAGAAACAATGTATTATAAATACATGTATGTCAGCCTAACATATGACGAAGAGGTGCGAGACTGGTCAACAGATTGAATCTGTTTACCCCTTAAATCTTTGCTTAGGAGTTTTCCTACAAAACAGTAACCAAATGTATTTCATGTTTGCCTAAGATAAATATTTTTATCGACACCATCTCTAGTCTAGAACACCAAGGCATTGTAAAGTCAGAGATGGCTTCTCCTAGCCTTTGCCTAAAAAAGTGTATCCTACGAAGCGGTAGAACATGAAGCAGGTTGCGCTTGGTTACAATATGGAGTGCTTCATTAATTTTCAATTTGTTATTGTTAGGAGCAGTATCCAAAATTTTAAAACAATTATAGTTACTTAGATTTTTACAATTAACAGATGAAATTAAACGCTTGTAAACAGATTGTTTTTTACCTGTAAGATGCTCATGAATTTTAAGTGTCTGGAGGTTTCTCAAATATAACTGGCATTACATCCAGCACAAGAAAATTTTGGATTTGAGCAGCTTAAAAAGTAAATCTTTTAAACATAAACTGTTTTTTAATTTGTGTGTAAGAAAATTAAGTTAATTAAGACATCTTTACAATAGATATAAAATGTATTGTAAAGATTTAGTGAAATTTAAGTAAAATCCTATAAATGAAAGATTATAATATCTTATATTAGGGTTATCAATACTATTTATAACAGATGCATTTATCTTTTTATCAACAAATAATTTAATTTAAGTGTCAATTATTTTAGGTGGATATTTAGGTGTTATTTTTTAAAACTTTTATTTTTTTATGCCCTTATCAAATCCTAGCCATGTGTTGTTGATTTTATAAGTTCTATCAATCAAACAACGTATAAGACTAATTTTATAACAATAGGGAAACAAATTGAAAAACTTTTGTAAAAGACCTGTTTATGTTTTTTTTTTGATAAACTGATGTGGAAAGCAAAAGAGGCTAATTGATAAGAACATCTAAAAATGCAATTTGATTATCTTGTTCTTTTTTACACATCTTAATAAACAAAATAAAAACTCCATATGTATGTATGTATGTATGTATGTATATATATATATAATATATATATATATATATATATATATATATATATATATATATATTAATAAAGTTTAAAATAATTATGTTGAAAGTGTTAATGATTAAAATAATTCATTAAGTAATATAATAAAAATTATTATATTACTTAATGAATTAATTATAACAATTGGTTAACAACAACAAAAAAGGCTAAACAATAATATCACAATAATAACAAAGGAAATAGCAATAATAATAACAATGACAATATTAACAAAATTCATAATATTATTAAAATTAAAAATAAAACATCAGGTTGATGAAGTACATGTTAATTTATTTTGTTAAAAATTGTTTTAAATAGTTAACAAAGACATTTTATTTCCTAATTAATGTAGGATATCGCGTATTACGGAACCGAATTTTGTGCTAAAAATCTGTGCCATGTTTTTTAAAGTCTGTTTTGAGTTAGCGTGGTGAAGACTTGTTTTGTTGGAAAACTTTTTTGAATTTGATATCAACATAGAGTATTTTTAAAAACTAGAATAGTTGAACTTTATTACTGAGTGGTTTATAATTGCTTTGATTCGCGTTATTGGTGTTTTTATTGCTGTCAAAAATTTAGTTGTACTTCTAGGATGAAATTACTGTCGAAGATATCGACAAATTTTTTTCTAACTTTCCTTTCATTTTAGTTTTTCATTTATCTTGGCACTTGCCAAATTTCATTGAACTCCTAGTTGTCGCAGGCACTCTATTTTTTGTCGCAGTGTTGGTATCTCATTTTTATTTTTACCCTGTCTTTTAGGGAGACAGAGGGGCCAATCAATTATTTTATTTTATATATGATTTCGATTAAATAATAAAAGAAAATATGGAAAGTCATATAACTGAAGGTTTACCATGTTATTTAATTCATATATAATTTGAAATATGAAAATTTTACTTATTTTATATAAAGTTGACTGTTTTTAACATTTCTTTGCTTTAATATAAATTTTAGTTTAAAAAATGGTAAAAAAGGTTAATAACTTAAACTTAGCTAAAGATAATCCTGAAGTTTAATAGTTGTTGCTTTTAGTAAATGCAACAACTAGTATGTTTTTGCATTTACTAAAACAACTAGTAATACTAATACAACAACTAGTAATACTAGTTGTTGCATTTACTAAAAGCAACAACTAGTCAACTTCAAGATTATCTTTAGCTAAGTTAAAGTTTACTTGTCTTCAAGTTTACTTGTAGGAAACTTGAAGATTATCTTTACATACCATTTTAATAAAATGGGTTAATATAGTATAATCTAATGGATAATATGTATAAGTTTTGTATAAATTATTTCTATAATACTTGTACATATTTTTTATTTTATAATATTATGATAAAAATGTATAACTACATATTTTTAGTTGAATTGTATCTTGTGTGTTGTTAATTATATTATGCTGTTAATTATACTATGTTTAATGTGTACAATGTTGTCCAATCACATAACTTTTTGATAATTGTATTCTTATATACTTATTTTTTGTTCATTTTTTTTATAAACAATCTAAAACAAATAACTAGTAAGTAAACTGATGATTATGAAAACCATATATGTAATGCCATTGATCATGTGGTTTTTATTTATTCAGATTTTTACATGTGTAATTATAATGAATCTGGTAATTCAATTATTGAAAACATATCAAACACAATGTCTGACTGCGCTGCTGTTAATCATCTTACTGTAAGCAAAGTTTGTAAAACCTGGGCACAAAATCTCAATGAAATAAACTGCCATTTGTACCCTTTTGATACAATTGCCACACATGTCCTTTAGCATTAAAGTCTCTAGAGAATGAGAGTTGTAAATTATATGAAAATGACTGCATGGCAACTTTGATTATTCTAGCTATAAATAAAATGAGATATAAAGATGTAAAAGGTGATTCACAAGGTTTTGAAAGTTTTTTAGACAATAACAAATTGCAACAAGGTATCACTCCAAGGTATCATGGAAACCGCATTCATGTTTTTTTTTGTACTTGTTTTATTCTGATAAAACATTACAGTGAATTTAAACAATATCTTATAACTGGAACAGTAAAGTGTAAAAGTTTGCAAGCAACTCTTCAAGAAGCATTTTTTAGGGTAATCACAATCAAAAAAATGTGTGTGCTAGCAGTATTTGAAAAACTTCTTACTGGACCCTGAATGAAAATGTTTTATGTAACATCAGAGCAAGCAACTTTTGATCATGTTGTTGGTATCCAGGTTGTGAAAAATGTTATATAAACAGTTCAACCTTGCAAATTCAATCCAGCAGGGTTATTTTGCAGACAGACTGATTTTTTTGGAAAATCGATTAAGCCAAATATTTTAGAATCAGTAACAAGTTTATGCACTATTGATGAAGACCTTATTAAAACGACGTAGCATATAAAAATAGATTTAGAGATTGACTGCATCATGCTAAAATTAGAGCTGAGAAAACATAGGCATCTAAGCGCCACAAACTTAGGCATCTAAGCGCCAAAAAATTGATGAAAGAGATAAAAGGAAGTTAGAGCGTGAACTATCAAAACTAAGTTTTAATGAAACTATAAATTCATATAAACACTTATCTTTGTACTAGGTTAATTGTACACTTATAATTGTACTAGGTTGTGTTAAACCACCATATCCACCTTTAATTCTAAAATACACCTCTCCTATAAGGTAATGGTCTGGTATAAAGATATAATCACTTTTTGTATTTTAAAACTTTCAATTTCTCTTCAAAAACACATTTTTATTTTAAAAAAGTATTAAGTTTCATACGAGTAAGATGGTGATTTGGTGGCCCCTCTGTCCACCCTATACGTCCGGTGGTTAGAGTTTAGCATAAATTTGTAGCCCACTCTTACACCTATACCATTTACACCTATGCATTTGATACCGAGATATTTGTATTTTGATAAGAATTGACAAAGTTATGACAATTTAAGTGGAAAAAAACATAATTTTGACCACAGTTTCTTCAACAAAATCCAAAATATTGAAAAATGGGTACTTAAATCGTCATAACTTTTGAATGAATGGTTCGATTTTGTATTTTGTATTCAATATACTGTATTGATCTTCTTTCCAATGATATATAACAGTATAGTATTCAAACAGTTTGAAATTTTTATCCACATACCTAAAGTAATCGAGCCATTTTTGCCATCAATCTGAGACATTAGAAGTTGTTGAACGACAAAGAATTTAAAATTATGTTGGTTTCTTTTCTTACTTGTTTTTTCTTATAATAATGAAGTAATAATAATAATAATAATAATAACAATAATAATAATAATAACAATAATAATAATAATAATAATAATAATAAGAAGAAGAAGAAGAAGAAGAAGAAGAAGAAGAAGAAGAAGAAGAAGAAGAAGAAGAAGAAGAAGAAGAAGAAAAAGAAGAAGAAGAAGAAGATTCTTCTGAAGAAGAAGAAAGAGAAGAAGATAAAAGAAGAAAATTAAGATAATAATCAGAAAAAGAAAAGAGAGAAGGAGAACAAAAATAATAATAATAATAACTAAAAAATAATTATTTAACTACCTTTGTGAGCATTCCAGGATTAACAGGCCATTGATTAACAAACTGATTTTTAGGAAAAAAATAAATTGGAGAACGTGCACCATGACGATGGACCTTTCAAAGATTATAGTTTAATAGTACAAAAACGACTAAAAACAAGAACTAAATAGTTTAAAGTCGTTCTTAAATTATATAATAACTAACTATACCAAATGAGCCATTACAAGACTTTTGTTAGCATCAATAGACTCAAACATCAGTAAAAGCACAACAAATTTTAGCAAGTCCATCTTTTAAAGTTCAGAAAAAAACATAATGGCATGTATGAAAATCTTTTTCTTTTAGTACTATAATAAACTTATACGACGACAAGTACTCATAATATTTATAAATAACAATTTATGATAATATCGCTTAAAAAGATCGAAGTGACTACAAATACGGCATGCCGTACTATAGTACGGCATTTGTTATTAGTACTAATAACAAATTTTCTTATTGATACCGCCAATGTTTTGGACGCAACGGAACCAATTGCCAGAGTTCTAAATTATTATACAAAGCCATTAAAAGTAAGCAAATGTTTTAATTCTTTGCAAGAATTAGAAGAAAAAGTTTTATTCTATGAAATTGAATTACGCGTTTTTCTTTATAAGAGAGAAAGTAGGACGATTGAGTCAGCCAGGAAAAGAGGGATTAAGAGATTTATTAAATAAAGTTTGAAGTTTTATACAATACTATAGTCCATACTAAACGTATGTGTTTCATAAAGTAACTGGACTTTTGGTTCTAGTTGCAAAATTATACAAGAATTTTGTTACATAAATCAAGAAAAATATTTATTGGTATTCTAAACTGCCTCATTTTTCAAAAATGACCACTACAAAGTTTACTGGTACGGTCTGATAGGTAATGAACAATCTGAAAATGTAGAAATTTTTTTTGCAAAAACAAAAGTAGTTCACATTTTTGGACAATCTAATCAATAATTACCCAGGTTAATACTTCTCTGATTCCATAACGCTGTAATTTATAACACATTAGCGGTTAATTATATTAAAAAAAAAAAAATATTTTCACGCATTTTATATAGTTAATCAGTTAGTTTAGACGTCATCATCTGGTGAAACATTTCAATATCAGTTTAATTCTATAAATTCAATAAATCATGTTAATTTTAAATAAATTATTATTTAAACAGTTATATTATTATCCTCAAAATAAATAAAATTTATATATGTAAATGGTTGCTAGAAACGGGTGCCATGAGCGCCCCTGAACTTAAAATTTATTAAGTATACGTAATATATATATACACTTCTTTAGCTTTCCTGGCTTCACTTCACTTCTCAAAATAAATAAAACTTTTATATATATATACGGGCATGGGCACCTCTAAATTTTCTAGAGCCCAAATAATAATAAATGTGCGGAAAAAGAATCTAAATACTTTTAAATAAAAATCAAAAGGAATCTTTAAAAAAAACATTAAACTGAATATAAAAATGTGAAACAATCATTACAACAAAAAACATTTAATTTACTTCCAGAAATAGTATTATCAAAATCTGATTCAAAGTCTGTCATTTCTAACTCTAGGTAATTAACTAATAAATTGAAATTTGGTTCATTATTTTACATTTTTAAAATTTACTTTCTTTTTTTAACATATCACTTTTTTATATAAAAATTATTTTTAATGAACTGTATAACTTTTTTGTTAAATATGGGAGTCTGAAAGAAATCCATCAGGAACTTACCATCTTTGAATGTTCCCAAAAATTGTTATTAAGTTCAGAAACGATATAGGAAGTTTGATCGGAGATGCATTTGAGCGTGCTCATATGCTCAATCTATCAGGAATGTTTAATGATCCAGTTATTGTATTAAAGTTAGCTTTAGACAAATCCAAAATAGACAGACAAAACAAAGTCAGTTAAAGTATTGCAAGACTTAAAATTCGTTAAAAATAACAGAGAGTTTGTTTGCCTTGGTGGTAATGGTAAAATTGATAATGAAACTTTAGTTATAATAGATATAAAAAAAGAAGATGTTAAGGTTGTGTTAAAGAGATCAACAGAGAAAGAACATAACATGACTGTGAATTTCTCCCTAGCCTTTACAGTGGGAAGTATCTTACTCACTAAGTTTTACCTCTTGTTAGAGCAACAGGAAAAAATCAAGCTCAGTGTCTCTACAAAGTTACTTAAGAGTATGATTCTTTACATACTCTAAAAGCAGTTTTGGTAGACAATACTTCAACAAACACAGGTCATAAAGTAGGAATGCTTGTGGAGTTAGAGAAAAAAACTTAGACAAAAAACTTCAGACGATAGGTTGCAATCTTCATCAGAATGAGTTTCCCTTAAGATCTTTATTTTAAAAAATTGATGGAGCAACTTATTCACCACATCATTTTGCTGGACCAATAGGTAAAATGGCAAATATCAATAATGAACTTAATTTAGTTGTTAATTTTGGTGTTATTAAGTGTTCAATTATCATTATTTTAGAAAAAGAAATTTTAGATGATTTCAGTAGTGACCAGAAGTTTTTATATAAATATTGCATTGGAATTGCCAGTGAAAATACGAGTGTTAAATATTCAAGTTGGAAAATTGATCCCCTTAATTATTAACTAATAAGTCACCCTTAATCATTCTCGTTGGTTAACATTGGCAATACGGTTGATGTCTTTATATGTCCAAGTACTAGTTCCTGATTCTGAATTATTTTTGTAACCTATATTGACCGAGTCTATGTTCCTACATGGTTCCTCCATAAAAAGACCAACAAGTTACACAAAGCTCTGTCAATTATATATTTTATGATTAACCAAATCAAGCTACATTGTACATCCAGTCAAAAATCACCAAAATCATAGGTTTGATGTATCGAGTTCGCTCTTACGTCAATAAACAAAGTCTGAAATTAATCTACTTTGGGCTGTTACTTAGCTTTATCAGCTATGCAAATATTTCATGGGCAAGTACTCAAACATCAAAGCTTTAAATACTGTATAGTTTGCAAAAACATGCTTGAAGAGTCATTTACTATAAGGATAGGCGTGAATACGCTAAACCCTTAATGATGAATGTGTTTGAAATAAATGTCTATCAGCATTAAATTTTCATGTTTGTTACAATTACAATATTTCTCCTATAAGCTTTAATAACAAGTTTGAATTAAATAAAAATGAAAACTATAATCTTAGAAGAATATGTTAAACACATTTAAACTGCCTCGGATAATAAATAAATATTCAGAACATAGCATTTCATATCGAGGTCCTAAAGTATGAAATACCTTTCAAAAAGGATTCAAAGGTACAATAAATTCGTTAAGTTCATTCAAGTTTATAACAAAAAAATAGATTTTTAAAATTTGAGAAACTTTTTTGGTTAATATTACCTTTCTACTTTTTGTTGTTTTTGTTGTTGTTTAACAATCTTATTAGCAAATTACGCATTTTATTACGATACTTTATTGAAATTTTGTTAAAGGGACTCTATGAAAAGATTGCGATGACGTATTGTCATCCTCGTCTTCTTTGAGCCCCTATCTGTTTTTACTTACTTTTTTTTTATGAAGTACGAAGTTGTAAAATTCTTATGTTTTAAACAGAAAGAAAAAAAAAAGCATTATTTAATATAATAATAATATAATTAAAAAAAAGCTTTATTTAATTATAAAAAAAAAGTATTTAATATAAAGTATTAATAAAAAGCTTTATTTAATTATTACGGCATTAACAAAGATAAAACTTCAGGGGTAAGGGCTTTTCCATTTTTAAACTTGTATTTTTTGAAAAAATGTTTGATATTGCAGGATCAGTTTTAATCAAGGGGTATTGGTACTGGTTTTTCATAATATTCTTTCTAGATATCTGTATGTTTCAAACTAGCTTTGCGAATTTCCTTATTCAGAACCTCTTGTGACTCCTCAAAGTAGTAACCAATTTACAGTTCTAATACCTCAGATATCTGCACACCATGTTCTAATAGCTTATGAACAGTTGAGGGAGTCACATCCAGCAATGAGCATAAGGGGCGTAGTTTCATAGCAATAGTGGCCAAAACTTTCAGAGTTCAACTCACAACTGATACTAGAATTGTCCTAAATCTAATAACTACATCTAATGCCACTCCTGTTATATCAGCAAAAGTTCCAGCATTTTCAAATGTTCTTTTAGCAGTGTTCCCATTGTTAGTGTTGAAAAACATGTTTGGGCATATCAACTTCAAGACTTAGCTTCTCTCTAAACCTCAGTTGAAGTCCTTTTTTCTATTTTTTACTAATGCTTTTTCAGCAGCGTATTTTGCAAAGTACTTTTATAATGTCTAAATTAAAATGTCTTAACTAAATGTCTTAACTTTTCCTAAATGTAAAATATATTTAAAAGATCTGAGCCAGCAATGCAGAGTTAAAAGACACAAAGATAAAGCTTTTTCATCGATTGGTTTAAATCTAATCAATGCTGTGTTATTATGTTCACTGGGCTTAGCTCAGCAAACATTATATGATTGGGAGGACAGAGTGTTAGTGAGGGCATTAACCACTTTACCATCAAACGTGGTTAAATCTAGTTTGATCTTAAATGTGATAGTCGTATCCGGTTTGCCTTTATCTACTTAGAACTTTACCTCAAACTTGGCTTTTTTCATTTTTAAATTTCGTATTCATATCTTATCAATTATTCTGTTTTAAAACATGCAATATGCCGTCAACTTTTGCATATGTCGATTTTCGAGGTTTGATAATTAGCACCATCTGTTTGAGTATTTTTACTAATAGGAACTAAAGGTATTACTTTTGTGATGAATGAAAGCAATGAACTATTGTTCGCTTTATACGCTAGCATTGATCAAAAATGGAAAAAAACATATAAAATACGAAGTAATTAAAAAGTATTATTTCAATTGGGGCAAGTTGGGTCAAATGATTTTTATTTTTTCTGGTTTCATATATACCCATCAATAGAAAAATGTTAAAACTACCATGGAATCTAGTGGAATCTATTAGTTTTTGAACTAAACTCATAATAAAACTAATTTAAAAAAATCAATTTATGACGCATTTTTGAATCTAAAATTAAAATTTATTGTCAAAAATGTTATTAATAGTTACCAAACATCTTAAACATATAACTTCAAATTAAATTTTGAACTGTTTTTACCCATATCAATCTTAAAAGAGTGACACTAAAGCAAGACTTTTGTGAACGAGTTTTCCGAGAAATAAAATTAAAAAAATAAGTCTTGGAAAAAGGCGTAAAATTGGTGAAATCTTAAAAATTAATCACAAAAAAATTAATTAGTGTCTTTTAGTGGTATTTAGTTACATTATAACTTAATTTATTATTTTCTAGCAAGAGTTTTTTATGGGGGTTTGTTTGCTATGGATTTTGACTCACTGTGCTTCGGCAACCTATTTTAAGTAGAGAGGTTTTTCCTAAGATAATTAAAATAAATCATTCTTAATAAATTAAAAAAAACAGCTGCAGACTGTTTTAAACATAATTTTAAATCAAAATATTATGTAATTTGGGCAGACTGGAGAGACATGTAATTTAAATAGCTAAGTTGCATGAGACTCGCGATCCGCTTGTTGCTGACCCCTGATATAACCATTGAACAAATTTTCTACAGTTTAAGTTAGCGTTTTTTTATAATCAGAGTTTACAAAAGAATTATGTTAAAGTATTAATATCTAACTTAGAAAAAATATATATTTTTGATTTAGAGTACTTTACTTGGCTTTTCTTTAATTCTAAGTAACTGTCAGTCCTTTTGCTTTTTGTTTATTTTATTTTATATATAAACTAGTTAGGTTCTAAATTTATAACGCCACAGCAAATGTTGCGCAGAGAGCCTTTGGACTCAACTTCAAAGCTAAAATCGCTCTTGGAGAAACTATTTTAATTTCATAATATTTTCCAGGATGTGTTTTTGGTCTGTTTATAAAATATCTCCATAATGCCAAACACATAAATCCAAAAAATGTTGTAGTTCGACCTGCCCTAAGCCAGCATTTGGGCAGGTCGAACCACTAAACTTATGAATAATTAACGAAGCCTGACAAAAAATAAAAATCAGGACAATAAAAGAGAGCTATTATAAACCATTGTAAGTGTTGCTTGAGACTGTTGTTAATGTAAGGTTTTTGATTAAGCCTAAACAAAGTGGAATTACTCAAATTATACTAAAGTTATGTGCAAAAAAAATTCAGAAACATATAGAGCTATATTTAATTGATATAAGATAAAAGAAATCCAAAAAAAAAAATTTTGATAAAAATTATGATTTATTTACTATTAGTTATATAATAATATTTTGAAAAACGAATGTTTTGTTTACTTTTTAAATTAGCTCTAGGGTGATTCTTACCCGTTTTATCTTTAACCTTAATTTTTTTTATGTAAAACGGTATAAAGACTCCCACTTGTTTCTTCTTATTATTATTTTTTCTTAACCACCTACTGAAAATATATTTATAATGTAAAAGTAAAAAGTTGCTTAAAGTTTAAAAAGAAGAATAGAAATCATTTTGAAATGTTTTCTTCTAGAGTTTGCAAATGTTTTTCTTTTGAAAATGTTTCTCGGTTCTTTTACGTTGCAACAATCTGATGAGTGTTTCAATATTTTCCAATATCTTTTGGGATTTTATCACCCACCACCACAAAATGTATTCTATATTTTTATTCCTTAACTTTTCAAAACTTAGCCCACTAATATAGCACACCTGCTGGACATCATCTAAAAAAGATTGTTTTACCGTGGGATTGTTAAGCTGAGATTTAATAATATCATTCGTCGATGAAAGAGTGAATTTTTAAATCATTATATTTAAATATTTGGTACAAAACCAAATCTGCCAAAAACAATTACAGTTACTGTAAAAAATACCCAAATGCAGATGAACGTTCACGGGTTTAAGTTACAAACTCCTCCAAGAGTGCTGTAATGTTAAACTTAGTTAGGTAATCTTTGTTAATGTGCATTAAAGCGAGGTGAGTGAGGCAACTCTGTGACATTGTTGACCGTATCATTAAGTAGTCTCAATGCACTAAAGGACCTTTCAGAGTCAACTACGGATATTGGAACAGATAAACACAACACAACTACCTGTTCCACCATCTCAAATAACACCATCTCACATAACATCGACCTTATTTGGCAAACTTTGCAGTGGCATGCTGACTAGTGTGGCTTCATTATTTGTGGATGTGCATGAACCTATCAAAATAGCTTCTGTGCATGCAATTTTATGCAATCCTTCTTGGTTAAAACGGCGCTGCAGTTCTGCAACTGAGTGGTCAATGGCTTCGAAGAAACTTTTCTTCCAGATAACATCTGTAGTTAATTGTTCTACATTACGGCTTTGAGCTCCATGCGAGAAACGAGCAGGAGCATTAACTGAAGGACTACGCTGTGCTTTGGACAGCTCGAGATTCAATGTGGTAGAATTCTCGATGACCTTCCTGTGTAATTCTAAAGCAAATTCATCACTACGCAAGTCTTAAAGTTAAGCCAGAAGGAGTTGAAAACATTTTTCAGCGGCTGATGCACTCAGTGATGGGCTCTGTAAAGCTTTGGCTACGAATTCAAATTTGGCTACGAATTCAAGTAATAGAAATCCATAAAAGGTTTGTGCCTTAGAAACCTGTTTGGCTAAGCCTAAGATTTTAGCCCTTTCATCAACACGTACTGACCTGTCGCCTGCTAGCTGAGATAAGATTTCATAAACTTCTCCATAAATTGTCATATTTTTATTAATGGCTTTTGCCCTAATGCACCATTGAGTTGGACATAAGCTGACCAAGCTCAGAACAACATCATTAATATTTTCAGTAGTCTTGAAATTATGTAATGCTACCGTAAAATGATCACACTGCGAATGCTAGCTGACCTAGGCAACTATTTAGTACAATCGTCTGTTTCATGATTTAAAGTAAGCATATTAAATGCTTACTAACCTCGCTCTTGAAAAGAAGACGTCTATAGTCTTGAAACGGGGCTTCTTTGCTTCTGACATTGATTGATTTGTTAAATAATTGCGCGATTAAACATTAAAACAAACTTTGTTTTTTTTAATTTTATTTTATTTTCATGGAGTCTGTACTCTATACTCTGAAAACTGAAATTTTTTTACTAATCGAAATCTATTGAAAAATTTTTAATTTAGTTATCTTTTTGTCATGGATAATGACTTTGAAACAATAGACTTTCAAAAGTTGCGTTTTGACGTTTTCAAAACTGAAAATACTTTTTTTGCGACTGATAAATATGAGAGCGATATTTTCTTTTATAACAGAAAAAAATTTGACTCAACAAACTTTGCTATTAAAACCTTTAGAGCTAAACTCCAAACTAACATACGAAAGTTCACGGTAATACACATCAACATCAGAAACTTAAATATCGATAAGCTAAAATACTTTCTTATCGAATGCAAAAGTTATTTCAAAAAAGAAACATTTTTTGCATACTTTTGAATGCAAAAGTTTTTTATTTTCGGAGGGCATAAAATAATCGCTGTTTTGAATCGCGGATAGTAACATTTCGGAGAGGGGCAGTTGGTGCAGAAATGTTAGGTGGGAAGTTACCTATACTGAACCCTATGTTCCAGCGCCTATGTATGCTTAGAATTATAACATGATGTACTTAAAAAATGAGCTGTTTTAAATTAGCGTTACAATAGCTAGCAAATGTTAATTTTCATTGAAACCATGATTGTATTTCAAATATAATAAATGTAAAGAAAAAAAATAATTTATAAATGTAAAAAAAACACTCGTTATTTAAAACCAAAATCATCGGAATAAAATAAAAAGCTATTCGTTTTTTAAATAACTAAATAGAATACGATTTGAAAGATATATTTTTAAATAAAAAATACATATTCGAAACAGAAATAAAGTCGTTGTAACAATTTAAAGTTTGTATCCAAACGCCTTTTTTCGTTTGGCGTCCTTTTTCAAACTTTTTTTCGATTCTAAAAAGAAATTGCAAAATAATGGAAACGAAATAAACAGAGTATGCATTATAAAACGATGCAATAGTTTTATAATATAAAATTATAACATAAAATTAAAACAGTAAAATACAGCGCTGTAATAATGTAACAGTAAACAAAAGCAATATAGTTGAAATATTTTAAAGTTTTATTAGATGAATATTGATATCACTATCAATAAAAAAAAACCTACATAGGCACCAATAACAAAAATAACCTACATAGGCACCAATACTTAATACGACTACTAAGTAAGGTTTGTTACCGAATTTTTAATTACCGGCAATATTAAAGTGCGATAAACCGGCTAGTTATAGGTAAATTTTTGAATATAATTGATATAACACAGATATAGCAATTCAGTAGCATTTTAATTAGTTGCTACTTTTGTTAAAAAGTAACTTTTTAATATATTTTTTTTTTTACATGTAAGATTATCTACAAGAAAAAAACACAAAATAACCTAAACACTATATATAACTTCTATTTAAATTATTAAATAATTACTCTTAAATGTTTACTATTAAAAATGTTTAATGTTTAAAAGTATATCTTTTTTATTACTCAATTGAGAATTTTTGTGTTTTCTATACAAAATAATCCGAAAATTTTATAAACGGTAAACCTTCAAAAAAAATCTACGGCTAAAGTATCGTAAACAAAATCTAATTACCTTTTACCCGTTTTGACAATTCCTGCCATAATTGTAGACAAAAAAAAATTGCAGAAATAAAAAAAATTTCATGTGAACCCAGTGGGCACCGGACCAAAAAAAAAAGACGTCTTTTGAACGTTCAAAAGACGTCATTTTTTTTTGGTCCGGTTTGACGTCTTGGACGTCGTTTTGACGTCATTTTGACGATGTTTTGGACGTCGTTTTGACGTCCAAAACGGTCAAAAGAAATTCAAACGACGTCCAAAACATGTATAAGACGTTTAAAAGACGTGTTTTTTTACGTCCGTGTTCACTGGGAAAGCTATTAGATATACCAAGTAATAAAAACTGAGACAAAAATGAAGAAAACTCACCAACATTCTGAACGCGATTCCAGACTTCGAAGTTTTTGATGAAGCCATCCTGGGAGTCATACCATGGATCTCCAGCGTATACGTCGATATTAGCAAATCTTCGTGCCAAATAGTTTTGTCCTTCATATACTTTTTTGTGATTAATATATACTTTAAAATAAGCTTTCTCTGATTCAACAGTTTGATTTATTTGAACATTTATCCACTTGTTTAGTGAAAGTGGCTCAGATTCAAAATTACGATAAGGTATAAAAACAACGTGTAACTTTTTATTAAAAATCCAAACGCCAGGAACTCGATCACCGTATATTAAATCATTTTCTCCCATTGTCAAATGAATGACACTTCTATATCCATCTGAAAAGCTGTTAAGTTTTAAGTCGAAACTAATATCAAATGATTTTTCTAAACTTGACAAACTCGCAACCAAGTTATTTTTTTTCAGTTTCACTACGTCATAATTATCCACATTGTCTAACGTAAAGAAAAAACCACAAATTTAATGATTTTAGGTGATTAATAAAAAATAACAAAAATTTTCGTTCTAAAAATAAAATTTAGTTTCCAAACTTTAGTTAAATTTGAAAAACCTTACCTCTTGTCTCTAGAGCTTTCGCTAATGATTTACCTAAAATACCGTGAAAAAAACGGAATCTATTTAAATTCAGTTGAACAATTAAAAATAAAGTTGTAAAAACTAAAATCTGTAATACTATTTAAGAAAATAAAATAAATATGTAAATAACAATAAATAGTGTATTTAAATGTTTTATAATGTCCTTTCTGTAATATCAAAATACAAAACGAAAAAACAGACTCTGATTTAGGTGCATTACACACAAACCGTAAAATATAGGATATAAAAAAAGTATTACCTGGTTCCCCATTTTCAAGATTTAGATTTCGTATTAACCCATTATGAGATAGATGCAAAGGATCTGAAACAAAAACTTTGACATTGTAAAATTTTTGCGGTTTATTGTTCTCTTCATTAAGTACATTTGTTCCATTTAGATCGATTGTGAAAACATATTTGTTGTTTTTTATACGTTGTTGAATAATAACAACTTTGGTCCATTCATTGAGTGGAAGTTCATCGATATATACTTGTCTGTTAGGATTTTCATTTATAGATGTAACAATCCGAAATTCTGTACGGTTATGTTTATCCTCTTGAAACGAAAGTGCCGGAGTGCTATTTCTATATTTACTCATATAATGACCAACGGTGAATTGAATAACATTATGAAGACCATATGAGTACGACTTGGGTTTTAAATCAAACGATATTTTGTATGACTTAGCCAATACAGGAATAGCAGCTACTAATTCATTTTGTTGTACACTTTTTTCGTAACCCCTAATTAGCTGATCTGAAAAACACACAAAAGACGATAAAATAAACTGAAACAAAAAATTGAATTAATAAAAAAATAAAAAAAATGAAAATTATGCTTATTATCTTGTAAAGCAAAATACTGAATTTCTTATAGCCACGTTAGAATTATTAATAATCTCTACATTTTTGAGTTTTGAGACAAGACGATTTAAAAAAAAAAGCTTTAGGAGACTCATCTAAAACATTTTTATAACTTATGTTCGTTCGGCAATTTTTTTACTTATAACTTAGATTTGAATGCAGTACAAAAAAATTATTCTGAAGTACACAACACTATCAATAACTCAATTTTTTCAAAAAGTAGAGATTAAACAAGATAGTTCAAACGTCGCGTTATTTATTTGCTGTATTTGTTTTTTACTGTAATTTCCAACTGGTAATAGTGGTTTCTAATAAACTTTATAGTACTTGAATAAATGTGATACATCCTTGTCAAGAAGTCCTTTAGAATCCTATAAGATTTTGGAACAAGATGAATTTCAGATTTTAATCCCATTAAACTAAAACAGATAAGTTAAAAACTGTTTATAGTAATCAAAGTTTTTTTTGTTTTTGTTCCAAATTCTATAGGTCCTATGCAACTTTTTTGCTAGACATTGTTATGGTTTTTTTTATTGAATAAGTTAAGAAATAATTTTGAGTGTGCTTTGTTATTTTTAAAATGAGTGCGAATAAAGTTATATACCTAAACCATGTGTAACCACAAACATCAGAACAACACCAAGTATCACTTTCTAAGAAAAAAACGTTAATCATAAATGAAGTTTGCTTTTCAAAACTTATTTTGAAAAAACTAGTAAAAATTCATTACATAAAAATTTGAATCTTTTAATACCATTTTTTTTTTTCTGCTATCTGCTTCGCAATGGTTCGCTTTCTCTCAGCAAATCTGCATAGATTGATGAAACGGCGCGTCTTTATATAGAGAGCAAGGTTACAGACGCGTGACAAAAATAATTCTCTTAACAATGGATTTTTAAATTCAATTTGTAAGTTTATCTTCTATGTTATTATTTAAAAATATTTAAATAACCCTTCGACGTAAATTCATTAATGATAAAATCTCATTTGCATAGACATCTGCAATTCAATTCAATTAAGTTAGCTAAGGTTTCTGCAATGCAATTCAATTAAGTTAGCTAAGCCCTTTCATGAAACCGTGTCATTATTAAAAAGTCATTTTAGTTTTAATAGACCGCATCTTTTAGTTTTAATAGACCCCACCTTTTAGTTTTAATAGACCGAAACCGATCATTCAAACTCAGTTGTTTTTTCATCAGAAATGATAACCTTTTTATATTCCTTTAATTTTCTCAGCGTTGCGTATATCATGCTGAAAGTTTTTGTAAAACGTAAATAGTTTATTTTTTTACACATAAGCTGAGACTAAATATAAAATATTGTAATTAATGATATAGCTATTCAAATTATGTTAGCTAATTCAATAGTTTAATCAGTTATAATAATATTAAAAGACATTTTAATGCAATAGACAAATTGAGACAAATCTCGTTTTACTTCTTACTTACATTTTACTAAATCTAAAAATCTATCAGAAGACAATAAAAAAATAAATAGGTTTTCTTTTAAGTCATCTTTTCTAACAATCTATATGTCATCTATACTAAATAACACAAATTATTTCAACTGTAAAATAAAATTTCTATATCCATTTTTTTTTCTCATATATATATATATATATATATATATATATATATATATATATATATATGTATATATATATATATATATATGTGTGTTTGTGTGTGTGTGTGTGTGTGTGCGTGTGTGTGTGTGTGTATATATATATATATATATATATATATATATATATATATATATATATATATATATATTACTACATGAAATATACAAAATGTTTATGAATAACATAAGATATATTTTTAATTTCCTAAAAACATTAAAATATGGTTGCAGTCGCGTTTGTAAAGAAGAATATTAACAAAATGGATTTGTCTACAGCAAAAGTGAAGTGCAGTCTACTGCATATACTGCACTTCATTTCTATAGCTGGATAAAAAAAAATCTTTGAGAGCTTTTGTTAACTGTTGATATAAGATATGGCACAATGTTTTCTTTTATATATATATATATATATATATATATACATACATATATATATATAAATATATATATATATATATATATATATATATATATATATATAAATAAATAATATATATATATATATATATATATATATATATATATATATATATATATATATATATATATATATATATATATACATACATATATATATATATATATATATATATATATATATATATATATATATATAGTAGAAAATAAAACTACGTGATTTTCACAACTTGAAGTTTCACGTTGTTACAATCAGGGTTGGCAGGTTTTTTTTCGGCAACAAGCCAAAAATATATCTAAAATAAACCAGAACAACAACAACAAAAACAATTAAGTAAAATAGAATTATTTTATTCAAATATTTTTTTTTTTAAGTGTAAGTTTTTAAAACATTTAATAAAGTTCCGCCAATACGTAAAGGTCGTCTTCATTTTCGCATGCTTTTGTTGCGTAAATTTCATTTCCAACCTTTTAAGTCATTGATTCGGGAATGTTTAAGTCTTTACAACAAATCTTTCGGCTCATTAAACAAGACTTTATTCGAATGACTGAATCCAACACTTGGTTTGACATTCTGTTTCTCTGTTTGCTTTTCACATAGGTGACCTGTGAAAAGACTCAACAAAACAGTTAGAAATAGGAACACACAGACAGGCAAGACAGTAGTCGGAAATGTCGCAAAAAGCGGAATGTCCGAAAATGTTGACATCGACCTTTAAAGCTATCCAGAATTCAGTAGTATTTTTAGGAACTTCTTTTCCTTTAAAAATGGCAGACTCAGTTCATTCAACGATACAGAATTTTCTATATTGGTTTTCAATTTCTTGACTTTTTGTACCCATTATGTGAGAAAAAGGTAGCTTTGAAAATGGAACCTTTTTATCTTGGGAAAGAGTTTTCATTAGAGACAGGTTTGACAAGCCGTGAAAATTGATCTGTTATCTGGTAGTCTTTTTTCAAGTTCGCCTATAGCCCTTTGAAGAAAATCATGACAGCGAATTTTTACATTTTTGACCGATTCTTTAGCATTCAGTTTTGCATTTGGAGGTTGCTCTTGAATGTAAATCTAGCACTCTGAGAAGAATTTAGCTCCAAAATCAACACACTGAAGAGGAAATACAAAGCCTTTGGTATCAAAAACAGGCTGCTTTAAGCTTTTGAGATGCGTATTTAGCTCACTCCTTAGATCTTCTGGATTAACATTTGACCCTTGAAAGAGAGAGTTTTGACGCTTAAACTCTTGAATGACTGGAGTGAGAAAAACAACATAAAGGTAAAGGGTTGCTGTCTTAGAACATTTTGCTTATTAAAGAGATTTTGTAACGGAAATCATAGTTTGCATTCATTTTTCACAAATAAAAAATGCTTTTAGTTCTTGCCAATTTACAAGCAAGTTATAAAAACACTTTTTTCAAAGCAACCAACGAGTTGCAGAAAACTTTTGAAAAGGGATGGGGCTCACACGTGCTCATTGTTTGGATTTTTGAGTTCAAATAGTTTTTCATACTCGTTTTGACGAAGAATGCTCTTGTTAAAAAACTGGGGTACCTCGTTCAGAAGAAAGCCGACTGGAGATGGAATTGCATTAAAAGCATTTTGCACCACAAGATTTAATGAAGACAAATGCACCTCATCATAATACAATAAAGCGATTTAGTTTGTACACGAGACCAGACTGAGTTATGTATACCAATAAAATTTGAAGCACCAGCTGAACTGTATCCATTGTTTTAAAGAAATAATCCAATTGAGTCGAGTTTATAATTCAAAGCATTAAAGAGATCTTCGCCATCACTCGAATGAGGCCAAGAAAGTCATCGACAATCTGTTTCTCTTATTCTGAAAAATATCTCACGCATAATGCAAGGTGCTTGATTGAACTCACATCCGTTGATTGAGAATGAAAACGGTTTTGATTTGATTTCTTTAAAAATTTCTTCTTCTAGAGTCGATGAGATGACATTTTGAATTACTTTAGTGCACTTAGTGCGGTGGAGTTTTAGATGTTCCAAGGGACTGCCTACACCAAACTTAGAAATAATTTCACACAAATAGTCAGCGGTTGAAATTGCTGAGTGACGGCAGATACACATAGCCAGCTGAATGTCTGCTTTTTTGTTTACAACAGAAATTTTTACTTGATCCGGAAAATTAAT